AACACCCATTTACATACATGCATGCACACACAGGTTTATATAGATAGAATATGAATCATACATCATATTCTCATGGTATCTTCATCTACAGGTTGGATTCTCACATTCTAATATCCTTCGGACCATAATCCGACGTGCTTGCTCACGGTTTCCAAATCTCTGGAGATACAATATTGTGTCTACCTCTTTTGGAAGATCAATATCTTCCCAGGTTAATGAAACTTTTCCAAAACATCAAGATGTGCGGAAGATCTTTGTTATTTTTGGTGGAGATACTTCGGAACGGCAAGTATCACTCATGAGTGGAACAAATGTCTGGCTTAACCTGAATGCATTTGATGATGTAAGTGTGAATTAAGGGATGTTTGTGCCTCATTATTTGTGAATAATGTATTATGGAATAGTGATTGATGTTGAAATGTGTGATTAAAAAAGAAAGAAAAGTTTTTGATTTACATGTAACATTATTTTAATGAAGAATGTAGTTGAAAATGAATACTGTAGAAAAAATAATGTGGTAGGATGGTAGGCAAACATAGCCTTAATCATGTGGTGCTTTAGGAATTTTAACTTTTTCTTGACTGTTGAATATATCTTTTATACTTTCAGCAGCCCTCATTGGATTCACCTTATGCAAATTCTCTCTTTCATACTCTAATGCTTAGCATCAAATTACCTTCTGATTCACATTTTAGCCTCATAAGTTGATGTGGATGCCTTTTGGCTTTGTTGGTTACAGCTTGATGTAATACCATGTTTGCTTGCCCCTACAAGTGGTAATTCATCCCATCTGAATTCTGACAAGACAGAATCGGAAGCAAGCTCCAGGATAGTTTGGTCACTACCGTAAGTGTAAATCATATCATGCTCTACTACCTACCATCAAGCTTAAATATTTTTGAGCTCTGCTCCCCATCTCTCCCTGGGCGATGCCAAATTTGTTGAAAACTTACCGATCATTCTCACTTCAGTCTGTCAGTTGTTGCAGTGTTTTCTATAATATTCAAGCACTACTTGTGGGGTCCTTTTTTTCCTTACCTGTACGCTTCCGGCATTGAATGGAATAGCAAGATTTTTAGGCCAGTTCTTCGGTTGTTAACCATGATAATTATTAACCGGGCTGGGTTTTTGTATTTTCTTGGGATTGCTGTATTTCAGGTTAGCAATCAGAAACTTGAGTCAATCATGGGGGCTAGTTGGATTATGCACGTTAATTTAATAGAACGTCTTTAATATATAAGGGCCTATTTATTGTTTTTTTCGTTTCAAATGGCTAGAGAGCATGGTCAGTTGGGGCACCAGTGGTGGAGAATTCTCTTATTTTGCTTAGATTAAATGACCATCATTAGAGTTATGATGCAATATGGTCTCTTTGGATACAACTCAATGCAGTAAACACATGATTATCTGATGATACTTGGTTATGACTCTGTGTCTTGTTCCCCTTTCTTTTGTCCATTACATTGGTCTTTCTTTGTACACAGTTATTCGGTTGTCCTTAGACATACTACAGAAGAAGTTCTTGATGCTTGTATTGAAGCAATTGAACCTGTCCGGGCAGCATTGACATCTCACTTGCGGAGCCAAGTAATGGAAAGCATAATGAAAGGCTTGAAGAAACATGATTGGTTCAGAGGGTTTGATATATCTGATGAGTTACCCAAGAGATATACACTGGACCAGTGGATCAAGCAAGCTAAGAAAGTTGAGGCTACAGTTTTTATTGCAGGTTCTAATATTTTAAAAAAATTTATAGTCACTCAATTTTATGTTCAGTTTCAATTTCCATCTTTAACACTTGTGGCTGCATTCTTTCACTCATCATGAGGATGTGCGGGATGCATTATGGGACCAGAAAAAGAGGCAATGCTGGATCATCAACCTATCACCCCCATCACTGCAGTGCACCCCGACGTTCTGCAACCTGCCTTTTCTGGCATGAGCTCGTCTCCTTGCAGTTTTCAAGGCTCTGCTGATTGCCCCTTCCGTTAACTTGCTTAAGTGCATTAATGTTTTTGGTGTGGAATGACCATTTTGACCCTGAAATTTTACGATGCTATTTTCATATTGATATAACCGTCAATTCACATTGAAAATGTCTTAACACCATTAAGACAAGTTAAAGGGGGATAGTTAGCATGGTTTTGATCTACAAGGGGGTACATTTTAAACCATTAGGGTGGTATCTATAGGTTTCAAGAAACCACCAATATCACGTGATTCTTTGAATAGACACAGAAGTTAACTCTAGAGTTTCACCAACGAATAATTAGTGGAGAAGTTTGATTAGTGTACAAAGCCATAATACACACACACACATATATATATAATTTTATTTTTATTTTTTTCTGGAAAAGAAGGCAATTCTTGTTTGGCTTCCAAACTTGTAGCAGCAGAACTGTCATCTAGACACTATATTTGGACATGGTGTGCTTTTGCCTAGTGGTGATCCTGAAATTGCAAAATAAGTGCTGGAGAGTGAGAGTATATCAAGCAATAACACTAACTATATTATATCCTGGACAGTGCATGGAGGGATAGGTGAAGACGGCACACTCCAGTCATTGTTGGAGGCTGAAGGAGTCTCTTATACAGGTAAATAAACTTCAATTGGAGCTTGGCAGATAATAATAAGTTAGCTTCTTTAACTCGCATATAAGACAAATAGTGGATCAGCTACTAGTTGTTCTACTTGTAAGTTACTTTTGTGACATGAAGTTGACATATGCTATTGCAAAATTAAGGCACTGGCATCGAGGCTTCCAAGATATGTATGGATAAAGTTGCTACATCCCTTGCTCTCCAACATGTACGGTAACTTTTTTAAGCATGTGGGTTAAAATATAAGATTCTCTTATTTGCTTTTTCTCTTTTAGTTTGACCATTCTTGTACTTAAATTAGGAACTAGACCATCATTTGTTGCCTTAAGACACCACTCTATCCTAAGCAAGTATTTTTTCTCCAACTTGTACTAATAACAAGAATACGAAAGTAAGGCTGCCTAAATATACTTTTAGTAGAAAGCAATGTCTTCATCTTCGAATCAAGTTTTGTGAATGATCTTGCTTGAAAGTTCTTATTTTAAACTCGAAGTATGTTCCCTTTTTTCTGATATTGAATGTTTTGCTCCAAACTCTGAGAATCTTTATGATGAATATGATCATCTAAGAAGTGTTTGACAATATAATTTTTTGCTAGTAACCAAAAGCAATATAAGTTTATCGATAGTTGTTGAGATCATCAGGCAGAAGACTAATCCGAGATAAATGCCCTGAACTGACCATATAATTTGTATTATTGCATTTGAACTATTGGAATTTTGTCAATTATTTGCTCGTTAATTTGGAAAATAGTTCTGGTAGATCTGTATTGTATGATAGCTTGAAATTTCGTTATCAGAGTTGTCTAATTTATGGCTTTCTAACACTGCTGAGCACTTTATATAAGTCGCCTTGTGCTTATTATCTAATCTCTAATGAGATCCAAATCTATTTTGATGTATAGCTTGCAGACCATGGAGTCCTTACAATAAAGAAAGACGTCCGGAGAAAAGAGGATTTACTGAAAATTCCTCTACATGACATTTGGCATGACTTGACGTCAAAGCTTCAGTGTGAAACATTATGTATTAAACCCGCTAGAGATGGTTGCTCGACTGGAGTTGCAAGATTATGGTAGGTTGTGTCTTCTATCTGCCGTTAATTGTTCTTACTGTTCATTTGGCAGATTTTTGAAGATATTATGACATCCAATTGTTATTTTATTTGCAGTAGTATGATGTATTTTCTTTGATACAGTTGTGATAAGGATCTCATGGTATACATAAAAGCACTGGAGAGCTCTCTTCCTCGAATTCCTCCTTATAGTTTCTCGAAGGTATTGATGTTCTGTATTTCTCTGTGTTTATCTTACCCATAAAAAAATCTCTGATTCAATTCATAGCTTCCTCTGAATGTTCTTATTGAGAATTCCATCACAAGTAGCATTATTATATGCCAGTTATATTCGCCTTTTCAAAAGCATTTTTTGAACTTCTTTATTCTGCTGTTTCCTTTCTCTAAATATTATATTCTACTGAAGTTAATTTAATGTTTATTATTGCATTAGTCAGTATGTTGTCACGTAACTATCTATTTGCAAACAATATTGCCGTATCAGCATTCCAATTTTCACTTCGTTGGGTTGCCTTCCTGATAACTTTTGCAGGCTCATGGAATGATTGAGATGCCAATCCCACCTCCAGAACTCTTAATCTTTGAACCTTTTATAGAAACCGACTACATAGTTGTTTCATCCCAATCAAGTGATGAAAATGCTTATAATCTTCTATGGAAAGGAAACAGCAGATGGGTAGAAGTAACAGTTGGCATTGTAGGAAAACGTGGATCGATGCATTCATTGACTCCTAGCATTACCGTGAAAGAAACTGGAGATATATTGTCACTCGAGGAAAAATTTCAAGGTATGTAAAAACAAACTAAGAACCACAAAGTTTGATGCCGTAATTTGCGAGTAAATGATAAATTCTCCATAGTTCAAGAAATAAATAAATTATAGCTAGAGCCTTACAAGATGACGCTTGCTGTGTGAAAACATCTTATATCTAACATGGGTAATATTGGAATTGCAGGTGGAACTGGCATCAATTTGACTCCGCCACCCATCTCTATAATAAGGTTGTGCCTTATCTTCCTTGGTAAAAAAAAAAAATAATAATAATAAAATAAAAAAATAAAAAATCACAGAAATGCTGGAAATTAAAGTTCAAGTTCCGCGATTTGGTATAATTATGATGGTTAACTGACAAATTATGATACCGTTTGTTTTATTAGTATAGGATATAATAATTTAGTTATTTGAATGAGAACTAAATTGTTTGACATCAGCTAAATTTTAATATTCTCGAGGTTTTGATATTGAGATTTTAACAATAAGAAATAGGAGCTTTGCTTTTGTTCTCTTCACCAGTGTTTCATTCGAGATTCCTACTTTTATTTCTGTATTTTCAGGCTATAAGACAAAGTATATTTTGAAAAGTTTACTTCTGCAGACTCTCAGTTGACATTTATCGTGTAATTGTTTGCAAGCTCACATGAAAAAATTCTGCCATCTACTAGTCATGTTTATGTCCTTTTTTCTCATGCTTATATTCTGTTTCTTAAATTAGCGATGGTGCCCTGGAGAAATGTAGACAGCGAATTGAACTAATAGCAAACACCCTACACTTGGAAGGATTTTCGCGTATTGATGCATTCGTTAATGTTGACAGTGGCGAGGTATGTCCAGTTAAACTCGTCATCTGATACATTGCCCTTTATGGCACAACAAGCATGGGAATACATTGGAACTTCTTTGTTTATGTATTTGGATTTATAACATTAGTAGGTAGATTTTGTCAGTGACAAGTTTTCTTGTCGATAGAGCAAATTCTAGAATGACGCCAAACTTTTTATTATGTGATGTATCTACTGCTTTTACGTTGTTCAAAGGGTTACTTTGCAGTCTTTTGTTGAATCTCAGAAATTATAATCTTTCTGAAGTCTATTTTCTGGTTTGGCATATAGGATCAGAGGGGAAGTGACTTTATTTAAGCTGAATTATCAAAGTAGATAGAGAGCAAATATTATTATAGAGAAACCATATCTTGCAATTTGAAACTTCTATGAAATCTCGTTTTGATCAAGTTGTCAAATACTATTGCAGGTGTTGATCATCGAAGTAAATACCATTCCTGGGATGACGCCTTCCACTGTCTTAATTCATCAGGTACTTGTTGATATGCTTGTATATTCAATTTATGATTCTATATATAAACTGAAAAAAAGGGGATTAGTCGAGGTGGACGTAAGTTTGCCCAGACACCCACAGTCATAAAAAATATATATATAAACTGAAAAAAGCAAAAAATTTGTAACATACATTTGGACAGTTTTTAGAGAAAACTTGTGTTGATGTTTCTAACTAGAACTTCGAAATATACTAACCACTTAGATATTATTCTTTGTGTAGGCACTGGTAGAGCAACCTCCCATGTATCCTCAACGGTTCTTCCGCACACTGCTTGACTTGGCCTCGGAGAGGTCTGTGTAAATTGTTGTGTTACAGTTATTATTTTTCCTTTTCGAACATTGTTTTGAATCACGTTATAAACTTCTTCCAATTAAAATTTTATGCTTTCAAAAATTTTATTACATTTTATCTTTTCAGTTCTATCAAAAATGACTATACATACCAACTATAGAGGGCAAAGAACGCCTGGAATATGTCTTGATTTCTTAATTTCTAGCAGTAAAACGAAATTTCTGGTTTTATGGCTTTAGTTATGTCTTGCTGATAATGAATGCGCCCAGTTATGCCATTGTTCTTTTAGGTTGTGATTTGTGAGATTTCTTGGCTTGCAACTAATCGATTTATCATAGCAATACGACACGAACTGCCTGCGTGGTGCCCAAAGGTACCCCCACACTAAGGACCCTAGGTCAGCATTCCACCCACATGGTCCGCAAGCTCGTCATAAGCGCGCACATAGGAATTTGGATAGGATAGAGCTACAATATCTGCATATGATTTCATCATTAATGCATAGTCGATAGTATGGGGGCCACATAGATTATGGTAATCATGCCGAAAAATCTGGGTGCTGCAGTTCATTAAAGTCTGTGACTAGTAGCCTTCCAAATCTAGGTTCGTAGATTCAATACTGTAGTATGATAATACATAGTGGATAAGCATTTGATAGAATTGTAGCTACCAATCAAAAATGGATTCAAAATTATGCAGTCCATTCTTGAATATGTTCAATCAGTCAGTACAATGAATAGTCATCCTGACTATAGTCAATTTCTTCATCTCGTTATCAGAATGACAAGCAATACACCTGTAGATTGAGACATTCTAACCATTGCAGTTAGAGTTGCATCTGGTGACCAGTAATGCCTTGTAATAATGCTGATATCTGTCAAGATTTTGTTGTTTCAAATTTGGTAGAATTTATGACGGTACACGTGAACTTATTTGTTATTATAAATCGTGTCCAATCTATGTCAGTATAGAACACTGAACTTTACTTTTCATTTATTTTCTTTTAGAAAAATCCACTCCTCGGTTTGACTTTAGGTAACGATGATTCACTGACTACATAGCATGAGTTATATTATGGGTTAGTTATATAAATAGTCACTGAACTTTGTCCTATGTTACTATTTAGTCATTGAACTTAAAAATGTAATTCAATGATCACTGAATTTCGTCAAGTGTTACTACTTCATAACCGAACTTTAAAAGGCATCTCAATGGTCACCGAACTTTGTACCGTGTTACCCATCCGTCACTCAAATGAAAAAATCCGTTAAGTCTAACAAACGGCGTCAATTCGAGTGACGGATATGTAACACGATGCAAAGTTCGGTTACCATTGAGATACATTTTAAAGTTCGGTTATGAAGTAGTAACACTTAACGAAGTTCGGTGACCATTGATTTACATTTTTAAGTTCAGTGACTAAGTAGTAACATAGTTGAAAAATCAAATCGACCTCAGTTACATTGGCACTATTCGAACGTTTTTGTACTTTTATTTAATTTTTCTTTGTCAATTTCTTTTAGTGTTCTAACTATTTCTCTTTCAATCTATTTATGCGGAGTTTAAGATATGATGAACTGATACCAGTTAATCTAAAAATCAAACGTACTTTTTCACTATGATTGATGAATATTAGCAACAATTCTAGGGCCTGTTTGAGTCACATTATTCCAAAAAAATATATTTTTAAACAGTGATTTGATATCATTTCAACCACACATTCTTCAATAAAATGATATTACACGTAAATAAAAAAAATTTCCTTATTTTTTAACCACACAGTTCCCATCAATACACTATTCAATAATGCATTATTACCAAAATAATGTGGTTGAAACACCCTCCTCCGCCACCGTATTTTCATTTAATTTATACGTCTCTGATTTTTTGTTTCCTCTTTTTTCCCTTCATTTTCTTTGATTTCTTCTTTTATAGAGGTCGATTTGAGAAGTTGATCCTTGTTTGATCCCCATTTTGAGGGATAAAATGAATTTTTGAATAGTATATTAAAAGGAAATATATAGTTAAAAAATAAGGAAAAATTTTAAATTTGCGTGTAATATTATTTTATTGAAGAATGTATTGTTGAATGATGTCAAATCACTATTTAAGAGTTTTTTTTTTTGGGGAAAGAATGGGACTCAGATAAGGGTTTAATAATTCAATTTAAAAATATATCTTAATGGTCACTGAACTTTGTCCTATGTTATTACTTAGTCACTGAACTTAAAAATGTAACTCAATGAGCACTGAACTTTGCCAAGTGTTACTACTTCATAACTGAACTTTAAAACATATCTCAATGGTCACCGAATTTTGCACCGTGTTATCCATCCGTCATTCAAGTTGACGTCGTTTATTGGATTTAACGAATTTTCCCATTTGAGTGACGGATGGGTAACACGATGCAAAGTTCGGTAACCATTGAGATACATTTTAAAGTTCGGTTATGAATTAGTAACACTTAGCGAAATTCAGTGACCATTGCGTTACATTTTTAAGTTCATTGATTAAGTAGTAACATAAGGCAAAGTTTAGTGACCATTCATATAATTAACCCGTTATATTATATATATTAGTAATGTATGAGAAATAATTTAGCTTTCTGATCGAACGATGCACGACTGTAACTTCTATGGCTTCTACAAGTTAATGATTCTGTTCTACATGGATATACTCAAAATTAAGAACTTAGGCAGTAGGGTTTAATTTAGTGAGGAATGTATAATTTGACGAGGATAATTTTATCAAAAGAAACAAACTTGGGAATGGGGTTATGTCTACATATCACTGTTCTTTACACAAGGGTTGTTCGAATAGGTTATGTTTCTTCCTTTGAGCATGAAAGATGAGAACGAAGCAACATTGTATGTATAGCTCTACCATTGTACTTAAAAGATTTAAATGATATATACGTGACTTTATTTAAATGCTTATGTTTTAGATTTATTAAATCAATTTGATATTAGAGTAGACAAAAGTTTCGAGATTAAATCTCACCATCACTCAGTTATTAAAACTAATTTTCTAAATGAGCTTTGAAATTTTTATGATACGGCAAAAGACTTTATATTTTATGCCTTCTATATTATGTTAATGAAAATTATATTCTATAACAATTATCTTATTCTACATGAAACCTTTCAATAAGAAATTATCATTCGTGATTGTCTAAAAAATAACTTATTACAATAAGTATTAAATGTTCATTCTCCAATAAAGAATTAAATTATTTAGAATATAATAATTCTATAGTAAATGCTAAAATTGTTCTTTCTGCCATGCTCCTATATATAAAACACTTGATCACGGATTCTCTTCTATGATTCTATCTCGCCCATAAATAATAAATCTAGCCAAAAATAATAATAATAATAATAATAATAATAATAATAATAATTTCCAAAACATAAATTGATAAACCAAACATATTACATAACTATGAATAAATAAATATAAAAAACGAAATATAAATACGAAGAAATAATAACAAAAAAATCTTACTAAATACGAAGCAATACTTCATCATGAATTTGCTTCCATTTAATAAACAGTATACATGCCCCAAAGAAAATTCTAAAATAATAAAATTACCAAAGAACATAACATTACAAACAAAACACACAACATAAATACAAACGAAATAGTACAAAGAAATAACAAATTTTTTTATCAAATATACAACGACATTTAATCACATATTCTATTCCATCTCACCAATAAAAAATAAAGCAGGTCAAAAGGAGAAGAAAACCAAAAAATTACAGTAATTACCAAAAAATAAAATACACAGATCCAAACAAGAAGTATAAAAATTAATGAAAAATGTATAATAAAGAATCTATAGATTATTAGTTTGAATTTAGAAAGAAGGGGAGCAATGGTCAAAGAATTGGGTTACCGAAATGTTATCAAATGAATGTAAATTGATGATGATCAAAGAATAAAAGTGTTATTAGAAAAATAACTTTTCATCTCATTAGTGAGTGTAAATTAATGGGGTTTTTCAAGTATTGATTATTTTTCATTTTCAATAGATTTTTTTGGGATGCAATATTATTTTTTAATATTGGGTTTTAAAAAGTAAAACTGGAATATACAATTTTTATTTTATTTTTATAAATTGTATATTTCAATATTATCAACTTGATAGTCTGTCATTTCAAGTTAATTGTATATGGACTATTATTGAATACTTTTTATTTGAAAAATGTTTTTATTAATTGTATGCTAATAATTAGTAATAATTGTGTTTAGTGAAAGTTAATTGACTGTTGTAAAATTATGAGATAATTATTATTATTATTATTATTTAACTTAATCAAGACACTTAGATAAGTCTTTGTAGAGATTTGTATCTTGATTAATTTGAGACTGCCACTGAAACCCATAGGAGTCATTTGTTATATCGAAATATACACTTGATTTTTAACTCTGTTACTTCTTTTTTTCGATTGATCTTCCTTTTCCTATTAATTTTATAACTGTTATCAGCATGAGACTAACTAACTGAGCAATTAAGAAAAAAACAAAAGTGATTCTTTTTATTATTATTATTATTTCAAAGCAAACCACAAAGCTCAATTACAAAGAAACTTTTCCTTTCTCCTTGAGGGAAAATGTTAGAATTCTCTTTTTTGAGTTATATAAGAACAAAATGGTAAATGTTGTTTGATTTGATTACATCGTGTTGACCATATTATTTTATGATAGACATATTTTTCTGAATGTTGCTTATTACCCTTTTAGTTTTATTACTCTTGAAGGGGCATCAATTTAGAATCAATATTTAAAAATAAAAAAAAATTGTAATATTGCTACGTACCAATATTCCATAAAAGTATTTTTATATTACTCTTCAAAAGCAAAATTTTACGTATATCAATATTTAAAAAGAATATTATACTGATGCTCCAGAAGAAGCACTATTCTTTATCTATATTTCAAAACATTATTATAATATTACAAACCAGAAACTTGTGTTAAAGTTCTTAAAGAAATAAACTCAAAAACATAAATTCAAGAAGAACATTATTTTGTTATTTCTAAAGAAATCAAAATTTCTAGAAAAATATTGTGTTAGTCTTGATTATTAACTATATACATATCTAAGTTGATAAATGTGTTAATTCTTGACGAAACACGATATATGTATCTAGACATCCCACATGTTTTTTAATTATTCAATTACGTAAGAAAGTGAAAATCAATAATTTTGTTCTTTAACTTA